ACCAAGTCGGGTATGTTGACAGTAATGAGCTTAGCCAGGGCGGTCATCAGAGGGGCATTGTCTTGCATGCGGCCAGCTGTGTCCACCAGCACCACATCAAAGCCTTGGTTACGTGCTAGAGAGAAAAAAAGTGGTCAACTCAAAACTTTCTAGACTGTCCTGCTCATCCCACCTTTCTCTCAAGAAGTGGTAACCTGGCTATATTAAAAGCCTAGGTGTTTACTTTCTTGGGCTTCGTATCTGGTTATAAGGTAGTGTGAGCAAAAACCTATTCTGTGCTTGGCCATCAAGAACATTCAAGAAAATACGGCAACAGGACAAAGGAGAGCAAACAGAGGTTTTCTTGGGTGGAATATATTAGTTTTGCCCGCAGTTAGCTTCTCCTCATGGCAAGTTCTCCGTCCTGACTTGCTATTGAGCAGTAGGTTGGTAGGAGGAGAACCCTGACCCTCTTCGAATCACAGGGAAAGCCCAGGAGGAAAGGGGCCCACAGCAGCCCCCCGCCTTCCTGTATGCCATACCAAAGGCAATCGCTTCCATGGCAATGCCTGCAGCATCTTTGCCGTAGCCCTTTTCAAACAACTGCACCATAGTGCGGCCGCCGTGGTTCTCGGGGGGGTGTAGGGCACTCAGGCGCCGGGTGTGTGTGCGAAGCTGCTCCACAGCCCCGGCACGAAATGTGTCGCAGGCAGCGATGAGGACACTGAAGCCATTCTCTAACAGCCAGAAGGAAATCTGTGCAAAAGCAGCAAACAAATCAATCCCTTAGAACCAGAGTCCCTAAGACATGGAGAGTGAAGAAAGGACGTCAGAGACCGGTGGGGAGCTGTACCGACCTTGGCAAGATTGGTAGACTTCCCCACTCCATTAACGCCACAGAAGGTGACCACGTAAGGGCGCTGATGACGCTGGGCATCCATAATATCCCGGAGCATGTCTACACGACGCTGCGGCTGCAGAATCTGCACCAGGGACTCTTGTAGGGCTTGCTTTACTGTGGAAGTCACCGCTAAAAGGGGGTGGTGGATCTGTGAAACCCAAGAAATGCACTCCCAGGAACACCCAACACCTAAGGGAACTGGGATCTGGAGGATCCAAGGATCTTGTCCCAGGAATCCACACCACATGTGACAGTGTTGCAAGCACTTTACAAGTGTTAACTCATTTAGTTCTGAGAACTAAAGTTATGCAACAGATGTTTGGACGTGGAGTTTGCCAAAAGCCACACACCTAGTAGGAATGGAGATCAGTGCACTAACTTCCTGGTTCACATCATGCCTTAAGCACTTTCTGGTTTAGGAATATACTTACTGCTGAATGTCCCCATCACCTTCCCTTCCAGCTTGTTGGCCACAGATTCACAGAGCTGGACTGCAATGTCTGCTGCCACATTCTTAGCTGGACAGACAGGGACAGGTGTGTGAGTGCCATGTCAACAGTAAACAACCCTATGGTACAGATGAGAACTCGAGGTGGTTCTCTCCACCACCCCATCCCATAAACGTGAGTGCCCCTATTCCTCAGAACTTACCAATGAGATGATCACGCATCTTATCTAGCACAGACTCCATGTCTTCACGACTCAAGCTCTTGGACCCCACAAGGCCCTTCAGCATCCCAAACATGCCACCCAGAGTCCCCTTGGTAGCACTGCAGGCACAGGAGATCATAGATACATATAAAGCCAGTGGGCAGGAGTCGAGTCTCATCCGTTCTGGAGCCACCCATACCACCCAGCACCTGAAATTCCCCTACCTAGGTTTGGTGTTTTGAGCAGCCACTTCATCATCTGAGCTGCTGCAGTCCAGATCCTGAAGCTGCCCTCCAGGCCCAGTCCCTCGAATCTGGAGGGTATAGGGAGAGAAACAAGATGGGATCGGAACACTGAGGGCTGGGGGTAAAGAAGCCCAGGATTTACCCTGTCCTCATTCCTCCATCTCTGATTTGGAAAACTCCAAATGTGACCCACCCCTTCATTTATAGAAACCAAAGGTACTACCCTCCTAATCTCTACCTCCTCCCCAATGTCTTATTAATGGTAACTCTCACTGGCCCGTTGCCTCTTACCAAGCTGATGTCCTCAGGTGGGGCAACCTCAGGGGCTCCATTGGTGGTGGGAGTGCTATAATCCAAGACTTCCTTGTTAGCACAGCCACCCAGTGCCCACACACGGGGTGCTTTTTTGCCCTTCTCCTTTGGAGCATCTGATTTCGTGGACTTGCTGCAAAGGGTTACAGCACAAAGGGTTACAGTGAAGTAGGAGAGGAAACATCCACCCAAGAGCCAGACACGAGCTCCCTTGCCCCCCAACATAGCTAGATAACGGTATTTATGGTGAAAGTGAGAATGCCCTCACCTGGACTTCTCCAGACCTCTCCCATGCTTCTGTATGAACTCCTCTCGCTTCCTGCGTATCAGCTCCTCTTTGGAAAGTTCTACCCCATTCTCAGGCCCCACTGGGAGACCGGACTTTTCGGCAGGAACTGCTTTACTGGTAGCCAAAAGGCCATCAGAACCTGTTAGGAGAAAAGTCACTGGAGAAAAACGACCAAATTCCAACAATGGGAAATAGTCTTCCAAACCCAAATTATTAAAAGGAAACGAGGAGCAAACATCTTGGGGATGACAAGGCCTGGGGATGATAGGGTGATGGGCACTGAGCAAGGGAGACAAGCAATGACAAAGGGAAAGACGGAACAACTTCAGTCCTTACTGCCATGTTAACTTTTCATGCCCCTGTATGTCCAAGGAGCTCAAACTCACTCTCCTTCTTGGCCCCCTTTTTTTTGCTGTTCTTTGCTTTTTCCTTGGGCTTTTCACCCCGTGTCTCAATCATGGACCTCACAGGTTTCTTGGCCTTTTCTGAATCTTCAAATTTCTTCATGGTAGTGGGAGCACGGATCTTACTGCTTTCCTCTGCTTCACTAGAGAGAAGGGAATGATCAAAGTCCAGAAAAAGGGCCCTCATACCAAGAGGTCAACTAGAATTGGGCAGCAAATTCAGGAGTGTTTCAATACAATTTACTACCCTTGAACCACCCTCAGGAAAGAAGGGAGCTCATCAGGTCATGGAAATCGATTTTGCAGAGGGGTGGTCTCTCACCGAAGGAGCCGCAGGAAGTCATTTTGGAAATCAAAAGTGCCATTCAATAGACTTAAAGCACTTTGCTGTTGGATCTCTGTGCGGTACTTGTCCCGAAACAGCCGGTGCACATCATCTATCAATTTGTCTACATACGTCAGTGTTAGGATCTTCTGAAAACCAACCTGTTCAGGGAGAGAAACAGAACCAACAGATCTGCTTACGAGCCAACTCAACCCAGGCCTCCAGAGACTGGCTCAGCGGCCTGGCAGGTTTCCCTGACCTGAGGGGCAGCCAAGCTCTCTGGGCTCAGGAGCATCTTCCCTTTCCCCCTCTACCCTCTCTCTGCTCAGTTACTTCATCATATACACTGGGTGCAATTAATTAGGGTTTTCTTAATAATCAGGATTATGTTGAAAGTGTAAATGCTGTCCCTCTTAAATACCCCCACTTACCACAAACACCAGCTCAAACTGGTTGTCCAGTTTATACTTGAGTGTGAGTGCCTCATGGGTGAATGAGTTGTTACCTCCCCTTTCCTGGGGAAAAAAAAAAGTATGTCTCAACTTAAGACTACCCAGAAAACCCAGACTTGGGCCCTTCAAGGATTACTTTTGTGAAAAAAACAGACAGTTCCCTTAAAGACAGACTTGTCCCCAGGACAAGAGGATGCTTGGACCTTGCTCTCTAGTATCCCATCAGGGAGAGGAGGAGGCACCAAGTTGGGGGAAGGTGAAAAGAGGTTAGAGGGAAGGCAAGACAGGTGATAGCCAGAAGGGACCTAATGATACAATCAGATTTACTAGCAGCTGTACACTATTTGTAGAGGCGTTTTTCCATTATCACACCCAGCCTTCAAAACAACAGAAAATCAAGCTGCTGGGGTGGGGGGGAGGCGGAGGGTAAATGGAGGGAACTATGGGAAATCTCAAGAAGCGCCGGAATTCGGCTAGAGTCCCAGAAACGGAGGGGGAGGGGGCATCGCAAAGTTGCGGGATGGTCCGATAGGGGCGGGAGAGAGAAATGGAGTCCTGGCAACGAGTGAGTGGCCAGTTCGGGATAGGCGGAGAGGGTGGGAGGGAGGTGTGGGATCAGTTGACGAGGCTATGGACCGGATCAGGGGGCCGAGCCCAGAGTTCTGATCCCGCGGGGAGCGATACCTGCAGCAGCACAGAACGAATCAACGCATTAACGGGCCCGGTGCATGAGTCGCTCACGCCCTGGAAGCACCAGAGCACAAGTCCGCCCTTGGAGAAAATGGTGAAGAAGTCGAGCATGGCGGCAGCGGGAGAGGAGCCGGGGCAGGCGCCGGGAACTCAGGCCGCGATCGCCGCCGCTTCCTGCTGCGCCAAGCGCGGGACACGTCACACCAGCGGCCCCGGAAACCGGCTCAGCCGCACTTCCGCTCAGAGCTGTCGTGTTCTTTCTCCGCCTCCGCCCGAGGGCGCGCAGCACTGACGTAGACACCAGGCTCACCAATGGCGGGTGGGGGCGGGCCTGGGCAGGGCCGCTGGCCAATGGGCGCACTCGTCTGAACGGCCTGCTGCGCGGAACAGTGACCGCGGGGTGGGCATGTCGTAGGGAGGAGGTAGGGTGCGAGCCTCAAAGGGGCTGCTCGTAGAGTGGCCATGCTGCGAAGGGCGTTGCCTCTAGGCGTGGGCCGGGGCCTCTTGGGCCGGGGGCTAGGCACACACAGAGGAGGCTCCACTCTGGGTAAAGTTGAGGGCAGCGGAGGGTATCGTGGTTCTTGGGTGGCCCCAGTCTCCAGCTATGTGACCTTCAGAACTCGGGACCCGGCCCACGATGGAAAGACAGTGGGTCGGCTGGGAGAAGGGGGTAAGCTTGCCTGCCGGATCTTGTAAAGCCTGAGCAGACGTATGGATCCCAAAGATGCGCTTCTCAGGTGACAAATGCCAGATTGTTCTAAGCTCCAACTTACCGCCAGAATAGCAGAGAGCCAGCCTGATTGATTGGTTGCACAGATAGATGTGCTTTAAGTCCTGCTAGCGTGCAGGATGCTGTGCCTAGTGTGTGGCTGTTAAGGAGGAAAGAAGGGAAAGAGGATAGGGTCTGTGTCCTGTGGAGGTGCCTGGAGTGTAGCTGGGGAGGGAAGACTTCAATAGACCAGTTCAAGACTGGATAGAACCCAACTTGGACAAATGCTCTGCACTGCTAGTCACCGAAGCTAGTGTAATTGGAGAGGTACATGGAGCAGGTGGGAACTGAGATCAGCCTTGAAGATAATTGTTTACTGATTCAAGGACGGTGTGTCTTCCATGTTCTGGGGAACTGAGCAAAAGTTAGGAGAAGAGAAATATTGGTTTGGTGCAAGGAACTAGCAAAAGCCATGTAGATAGAGCATTTGTGTAGAAATAGGAAATGTAGTTTGGACAAGGAAGGTAAGCCCAGATCAAGGAGATTTTTTTTTTTTGAACATTGCCGAGAAGAGTTTGGACTTTGTATTGGAGTCAGTGAAAAGACTTGGAGATTTTTGAGTTAGGTGTGAAAGACAAAAGGATTCATTTATTCAAGGCACTTACGATGTGCCAGGTTCTGTGCTAGGTTGGAGATTCATTGGTGAAGAAGGTAAGCATGGTACAGTATGAAGCAATCACAAACTCAAAATTGCAAACGTCTTGCATGAGGTAATGAGACAGTGTGACAGGAGATTTTGACAGTGTAGGGGGTCAGGAAAGCCTTTCCTGAGAAAATGATAACTGAACTGAAAGGGAAAGGAAGCAAGGTGTTAATGGCAAAGAAGTGGACACAGTTTCAAAACAGAGAACCCCTGTGTAGATTCCGTGTGGTGGGATGAAATAAAGCACCATCAAGGTGTGGAAGGGGCTGGAGTGGGGGAGTAGGGAGAGAACAAGGTAAACAGGAGCTAGACTGTGCAGTGTCTCATAGGCCGTGTTGAAGATTTTGGACTTTTATTCTTGGAGTAACGGAAAGCCACTGGAAGGTTTTAAGCAAGACCGTATGTGATTAAATTAGTGCTTAGAAAATATTCTAGCTGTGATGCAGAAGAGTTGGGCAGGCAAGAGGGGAATTAGTGGGAACAATCAGGAGGCTTTTGCATTAGTCTAGGTGAGAGCTTATGGTGGTTTGGTCTAGGGTGGTGGTAACAGAGATGGGAAAAAACGGGGGGAGGGACAGATTGGGGAGATATTTAGGAGGCAAAGCCATCGGGACTTGACAATAGATGGGACATGAATGTAGCTTTGCTGGTGGTGATGGATGGCCAGGATAAGATGCCACTCAAAGAGTATCATGCTTCAGAGGGCACTGCAGCTTGGGGTGTGCCAGAACCTATTGGTCCAGGAGCCTGGAACATCCAAGAGGAGAGGACAATACGGTTGAATATATGAGCCTGGGGCTCAGAGGAAAGAGCAGTCTGCACAGGAGATAAACATGTGTAAGTCACCTGGCCTAGGGAGAGAGTAAGAGAGTGTTCATTTTAAGAAGTTGAATCTTGCATTGCTGGGCACGATGCATGAGAAGGCAAAGAGCCGAACGGCATACAGACCATATAGTGAAGCTCTGGAATACTGCTGGGTGCGAGCTGACCTTATGAGAAGGGAGGGCCATGGAGACAGCCAGCTCAGGGTCCTCTTAGCCCACCTTTTCCTGTGCCGATCCTCTAACTCCTGACCACCTGGAAAGAGAATGTATGGCCTTCTGACCTATAATTGCATCCCACAGATCAGAATGGAAAGGTGTCCGAGATTAAGAAGAAGATCCAATCAGTCCTTCCTGGAGGGGCCTGGAATCCACCGTACGACACCAGCTACCTGCCCCCTGAACACTCGGATGTGGTGATTGTGGGGGGTGGGGTGATTGGCCTGTCCGTGGCCTATTGGCTGAAGAGGTTGGAGAAGCCACGAGGTGCCGTTCGGGTGCTGGTGGTGGAACGGGACCACACGGTGAGGTCTGGGGAGGGCGGCGGCATGAGTGGGGCACGGACTCTTACTAAGGGGCAAGGGGAGCAGAGGGGAGGAAAGACTTCAGTCTTCGGGGGTTCAAAGTCCAAAGGGACTGTACTTTGGCTATTGTTGAGAAATAGTCCCAGGTGCTTCCTCCCTCAAATTAGAGGCTTTGGCAGTAAGGTTTTTGCTTTTAAAAGCAAATTTCACAATGTTGGATCTTCTGGGTGCCCACAAGTCCGACAAAGAGAAACTGTATTCTAGCTGTAACGAACACAAACAGCTATCTCATCCCCCCTTCGAGATTCTATTACTTCTGAGGTTTTGCACAGTTGTTCTATTTTATTTTCTAAGATTTTATTCATTTATTTGAGAGAGAGAGCACACAAGTGGGGAGGGAGGGGTGGAGGGAAAGGGAGAAACAGACTCTCCGCAGAGCAGGGAGCCCGATGCAGGGCTCTATCCCAGGACTCTGGGATTATGACCTGAGCCAAAGGCAGATGCTTAACTGACTGAGCCACCCAGGTGCCCCTAGTTGTTCCTATTTTAACCACTGCCAGTTAACCAGGAATCTTGCTAGTTCTATTTTCCAGTTGGGTAGATGAAATGTTAGTTTCCTGCCCTTGGACTTCCAGGCCATTCCCATTTTGTGCCACAGTGCCCAGCCCTTTTAGATGATTGATTCTCTCTGCTCTGCACATCTGCTAAAAAGGATTTTAGGGGCGCCTGGGTGGCTCAGTCGGTTAAGCGTCTGCCTTCGGCTCAGGTCATGATCCCAGAGTCCTGGGATCAAGCCCCGCATCGGGCTCCCTGCTCCACAGGAGGCCTGTTTCTCCCTCTCCCTCTGCCTTCCCCCCCTTGCCACTGCTTCGTGCTCGCTCTCACGTGCTCTTTGTCTCTCTTTCTTCCTCTCTCTCTCAAATAACTAACTAAAAAATCTTAAGGAAAAAAAAAAGGTTCTTAATAATAGTTGCCCTCTTTGGGTGCTGGTTGACTTGCATATGGGTTTATCTCCCTCAACTCCTCTTAGATTACAGACTTGCAAGTAGGACTCCCCTCTATTTGTAGGTGCTTTTGTTAGTGGATTCTGCTCACGTGTGACAGGATGCTGGCCGCCCTCAGCTACTTTGGTCTTTCCACAGTATTCCCAGGCCTCCACTGCACTGTCTGTGGGCGGGATTCGTCAGCAGTTCTCGGTGCCTGAGAACATCCAGCTCTCCCTCTTTTCAGTTGAGTTTCTGCGGAACATCAATGTACGTGCAAAGGGGCTTGGGGGTTGGGGTGGTGACCTCTCCTTTAACCCAGAGAGAGGAGCCGCCCAGCTGGCCAGGGGAAGCAGGGAGCAGAAGCAGTTTGGGCAAGTAGGAGTTGGAACCTCTAGTTCTGTCCCTGGTGGTGGTACCCAGAGGAGGAGGGCTTCCCCGAGTCTCGGGAGCTGTTGGTGAGGAAGCCAGGAGAGCTCTCCCTCCCTTCTTTAAATCAACTTCTTCTAAAGAGTTGTTTTTTTTTTTTTTTCCCTTTTTTGCATATAGGAGTACCTGGCTGTAGTCGATGACCCTCCCCTGGACATCCAGTTCAACCCCTCGGGTTATCTCTTGCTGGCTTCGGAAAAGGGGGCTGCAGTCATGGAGAGCAACGTGAAGATGCAGAGGTGGGTGCCCGGCACGACCACCCGTCTGCTGCTCAGCTGCACACACCCAGCAGGCTCCCGACACTGAGTTAGGAACTGGGGCGGGCGAGTTGATAAGACAGGTCTTGACTGTGCGGGAGCTCAGTCTGTCGGGTAACACAGACAAGACCTCCGGGATCCTGTGCTGTCACACGGACGTGGACCACACGCTGCCGCGGTGGTTCCTGAATTTGCCGGATCCTAAGAACCCCTGGAAAATCCCACACCCGATGAGCCAGAACGTCTAGGGAAGAGCCCAGGGATCTGCACACTTTTCCTGTAGGGGCCAGATAGCCAACGTTTTAGGCTTTTGGGGTCATATGGTCTCTGTGGCAGTCACTCAACTCTGCAGTTGAAACAAAAGCAGCCATAGACAAAACATGGACAAAAATCTGAATGAATGAGTGTGACTCACGTACAAAGATGCAGGCAGCAGGCCGGTTTGGGCGGCCCCTTTCCTGAGTGAGTCTCATGGTCAGACAAGAGTGCATGTGTTTAACGAATAGACTTGCAAGGGACATCAGGTAATGTCCCAGATGCAGCACTTACTCATGTAGCCACCCAATCCTCCCCATTTTACGTGTGGGTAAACTGAGGCACGAGGCGCTAGTCAGTGGTGGTGCTGGGATTCAAACCAGGCAGTCTGGCTTGCCAGTGTGTTCTTTTAGGATCTGTGTTGCTGTCTTTGGGGGACAGTGTCCCATAAGAGATTGTGCTGGTGGACAGGGCTGTACTAGAAAGTGGACAGGAAGGCCCTTCTAGGCAGAAGGGAAGGGAACAAGGGGAGGGAGCCAAGGGACCTGCTCTGTTGTGAAAGGACAGGGAACAGTTAGGGGATGACAGGGAGTTTAGTGTGGCCAAGGAGATACCGGGGTGTAGGAAAGGAAAGCGGGGTCGGGTGCTGAAGAGCCATGACTGGGAGGCTTGGTCTTGACCCGCTTAGCAAGGAGGAAAACTTGGGGAGTTTGGGGCAGAGATGTGACACAAATGAGGCAGGATCCCCACTTGTGGAGTTGGGGTCCCTACTTCCTCTCTGCAACCCCCGCCCGACACACCTGCACACAGTTGCGCATTTCTCTCAGGCAGGAAGGAGCCAAAGTCTGTCTGATGTCTCCTGAGCAGCTTCGGAACAAATTTCCCTGGATAAACACAGAGGGTGTGGCGTTGGCATCTTACGGTGAGGCCTGCTTGCAGAGGGGTTCAGGGGTCGAGGGGTGCCTCGGGTTGGGAGTCTCAGCACCTTCTAGCCACGTCAAGAAGCAGTGCTTCCCCCTGGCCGGCAGAGCCTCCCCCCCGGGCCATGCTCGCTCTCTGTCCTTCCACAGGATTTGCCTCTGGTACACTTGGGCACCATGACCTTCCCTGGCTTGTGAGCCCTAAAGAGGAGTCAGGGGCATGGGAAATCCAGTAGGAGAGGAGGGTCCTAATCCCGCCTCATGAGTCCTCTTGCTGATCACAGGGATGGAGTGTGAAGGTTGGTTTGACCCCTGGTGTCTGCTCCAGGGGCTTCGGCGGAAGGTCCAGTCCATGGGGGTCCTCTTCTGCCACGGAGAGGTGACACGTGAGTCTGAGGTCCCATGCTTCTTCCCTCTGCCAGCCAGGACACAGGCGTGGATGGGGTCTTACCTTCACTCACGGGCTAAGCAAGAGTTGGTAGGAAAGGGGGTTCTCCCTGAGGGCTGGCCCTGGCCATTCTGACTCCAGCTCCTAACTCGGCTTCTCTGCATGACTTACGATGTGCTTGAAGGTCTCGGCACGCTCCTGATCGGTGTGCAGCCAAGTTCGTCCTGGTTACCCCATCTCTGTGGGAAAGCCCCCACCTTCCAGCTTGCTTTCCTCGTGAAACCCATGGAATCCCAATCTTGCCCTCTTCAGGCCTCAGGAGTTCTTTTTTTTTCCCCCCCATGCAGGTTTTGTCTCTTCGTCTAGCCACACGGAGACCACAAGTGGGGAAGAGGTGACTTTGAAAAGGATCCATGAAGTCCATGTAAGTTCCCAGCCTATGCATCTTCCTTACCAAAGCGGAGGGATAAGACCGGTAACAACTGTCATCTTGATCTTTTTCTGCCCACTTCCAGTCTGGGTAAACTAAGGCTCAGGAAGAAATGTACCTCTCATGGTGCCCAGTGTGTGGGCCAGGCCCTCCCTCCCCTCCTCCTTTGGTGCCTGCAGGTGAAGATAGACCGCAGCCTGGAGTACCAGCCCGTGGAATGTGCTCTCGTGATCAACGCGGCAGGGGCCTGGTCTGGCCGGATCGCGGAGCTGGCTGGTGTCGGGAAGGGGCCGCCTGGCACCCTGCAGGGCACCAAGCTACCCGTGGAGCGGAGGAAAAGGTAACTCCCCTCGGGGCGGCTGGGAGGTTGGGGAGGCGGACAGAAACGGCGTAAGAGTTTGTTAAATGCGGTCGGGAGTGGCGGGGGCGTGCTCTTCCCACCGTCTTCTAACCCACCGGTCGTGGCAGGTATGTGTACCTGTGGCACTGCCCCCAGGGACCAGGCCTGGAGACCCCATTCGTCGTAGATGCCAGTGGAGCCTATTTCCGCCGAGAAGGACTAGGCAACAACTATCTGGGCGGCTGTAGCCCCACTGAGGTAGGCTGGGCAGGGGTGGGGTGCTGGGCAGGAGACGTAGGCCAACTGTCATGAAAGAGTCAGGCTTTGGGGCGCCTGCGGGGCTCAGTCAGTTAAGCCTTTGCCTTCAGCTCAGGTCAGGACCCCAGGGTCGTGAGCTCGAGCCCCGTGTCGGGCTTCCTGCTCGGGGAGGAGTCTGCTTCTCCCTCTCCTCCCTGCTTGTTCTCTCTCACTCGCTCCCTCTCTCTCTCAAATAAATAATAAATAAAATCTTTTAAAAAAAGAGAAAAAGAAAAAGAGTCAGGCTCTTTGGAGGGCCCAGCACTGTTACTGATGTTCCAGCCCCTCTGGGTTTGAAGTGGGATCTTTCCTCCCCGCCCCCCACCTCCTGGGGGGATTGAGTAAAGGGTCGGTGAGGTCTGGGTCAGCCCTCGTATCTCAGGGAGCATAAGTCATGTCCCCACCTCTCACTGCAGGAGGAGGAACCGGACCCAGGGAACCTGGAAGTGGACCATGATTTCTTCCAGGATAAGGTGTGGCCCCCTTTGGCCCAGAGGGTACCAGCTTTTGAGACTCTGAAGGTAACTAGGAGGCACATGAGCCTGGAGCACCTCGGTCCCCTTGGAAAGCCTGTCCACTGCCACACGCCCTCCACCTCACAACTGCTAAGGACTTGTGGTCTAGGGGCACATCCCATCGACCCCTCAGCAGCTGGAAGACGCTGCTGCGTCTGACCCCTGGGCAGGAGTGAGGGTGGCACGTGTCGGCACTTTCCTGGGAACCCCAGCGTCCTGTCCACCTGCAGGTTCGGAGTGCTTGGGCTGGCTATTACGACTACAACACCTTCGACCAGAATGGTGTGGTGGGTCCCCACCCACTCGTCGTCAACATGTACTTTGCCACGGGCTTCAGTGGCCATGGGCTCCAGCAGGCCCCTGCCGTGGGGCGAGCTGTGGCAGAGATGGTGCTGGATGGCCACTTCCAGACTATCAACCTGAGCCCCTTCCACTTCAGCCGCTTTTACTTGGGAGAGAAGGTCCAGGAGCACAACATCATCTGAGCCTGTAAGCTCTTCACTGGGCCCCGCTGCCCCATCCGTGACCCTTGGCTCACATTCACATTCTCCTCACTGTGGCTTCCTCCCCAGCACCAAGCCAGGCTCTCCTCCATCCTCCTGTCCCCGTGGGGCTGGGCAGGCAGGCCAACTGTAGGCTTTGAGAGGCACTGTGCCTTAGGCCCAGGCCAACAGAGAATGATGGGGTGAGACCCCAGGACTGATCTCTGGCCCGGGCCAAGGCCGCCCACCAAGGTAGTGCAGCTGGGCAGAATACCTGACCACGTGCCCCAAGACTGGCGTCTTCAGAAAGATTGCCTCTGCCTGTCTTTGGCAGGCTCCAGCAGAGGCCAGGCAGGGGGCATTGCAGGGCAGCCTGGCCCAGATTTAGTGATTGTTTACCTTTTTCATCAGTCAATAAAATGTGATTACTTTTTCCATCCAGGCCTCTGTCCCTTCTACTTTCACCTCCTGAAGCACCCACTAGCCTTTCACACCAGGCTGGGAGGAGCATGGCCTTCTCCTCCCAGGAACATTCTAAAGTCCTCCTTATAGGCATCTTGTTTGCACACAAGTGCCTCCTCTTCCTGAGTCCCTGCAGGGTTTGGTTGTAGAATGTAGGGAAGGCTTCATTCATTTATTCACTATTTATTCAGCTCCAGCTCTTGGCCAGGCCCAGGGCTGCATATTAGGGATATACAGCAAACAGGCATACCGTATGTCCTCACGGGAGTGTTCTTATCTCTGCCCTGCCCTTCAGCCCAGATCAGATGTAGTGCCCTCCCGTAGTGCGGGAATAAGCACAGGTCACGGACACCTCGTCTCACCTGGGTGTTTCTCCATGAAGCTTCTCAGGGAAGTTGTCCTCTGAGCTGAACCTACAGGACGAGCAGTTTAACGAAGTGAATGCACAGAGGGGAAGCGGGGAGGAGAGCGAGGACGGGGGTGATTGCAGACTTTAGGAAAACCATATGCAAATGCCCAGGACCAAGGGTTAGTAAGATTCAAGGGACAATAAGAGATTTGTCCAGGTGAGATCATGGAGGGAAGGAAGAGAGGCAGTAAGAATCGGGGCAGGGCCAGGAGCCAAAGAGCCATGCTGTGGCGCTTGGGTTGTGTTCTGTGGGCTTTCAGTAGAGAAGCGACATGCTCCGATTTTCCTTTTAGAAAAATCACCCTGACTGCCTGTGGCGAATAGACTATGATGTCAAAGCAGGAGGGCAGATGGGAGGCTGTCACTGCGTCCACAGGGCAGACAGCAGGGCCTGCACTGTCAGGGCAAGAAGCATGTGTGTCCAAGAAGTGACAATAGTCACAAGAAGCGGGGTCAAGTAAGACTCAGGTTTTTGGCTTGGACAGCTAGATGTATGTCTTGCCTTTCACAGAGGTGAGGAACACCAGGGAGGAGCAGGGTGAGGGACAAAATGAGTGGTACAGTCTGGGACATGTTGAGTCAAGGGTGCATACAAGGACATCGGGTAGAGCTGTCTAGCTGGGAGTTGAAGGTACTGCTGGGCACTCAGGATGACCTAGGCTGTAGAAATACGGATACCATGGAAGAGAATGGCATCCCCTCACAAAGGGAGAAGAGTAGGGGGCCAAGGGGGGAAGCCAGGGGGGACCCCACTGTCATTTTAAGGGATGAACGAAAGGAGAGGAAACCGAAGAGGTGGCCAGAGGCAGGAGAAAAGCCAGGAGCGTGAGGTGTCCCAGGAACCTAGGAGTGGTCAGCGATATCCATGCATGCTCGATATCCATGCATGCTCGCAGGCTGGATCAGTACCAGGTAGGTCGGTGGGGCCCCCACGGAGAGCGGTTCTGGGAAGAAATGTACCTCGGTGGGGTCCAAGGTGACAGTTGTTCAGAAGGGAGAAGTGAATGGGAGTAGAGAGTTAGTAAAACGTTCATTCCCCCTCAAAAGCAGCCTTTGGGGAGAAGAAGGGAAAAGATGGGCCCGACTGATTATCAGCTGTGTGAGGGAGGGCGGACCGGGGACGGGAGTGGCGCTGCCCCGTGAGGTAACAGGAGAAGCCCTTGGGCTGGGTAAGAGCCAGGACTGATGAGGCAAGCAAAAGAGGAAGAGCCTCGGGTGCTGAAAGACAGGAAGGAACTTGCCAGGGGCATGGGCTAGGGACAACTCAGGCCAAGCCCAACATCTGTGATAACCCTGTAAGCTAGCCTCGTCAGGTGCCCAGTATTCACTCACCCTGCCTTCAGTAGCTACCCCCCTCTGTGGGTCAGAAGGAAAATGGCCTTCATCTGGCTCCTCACGCTGAAGCTACTTCAAGATGACAAACACTGTACTCATTTATTAAGAATGCATTAATGAGGCCTCGTAGGAGAGCACTTACCCTGCCATCTGTCTTCCCTCTCAGTCCAAGCCTCCTTCACCTTTGCCCCAACACTGAGCTGTCGCCATGCGTGCCCTCCACCCGCTCTCAGCCAGGCTTCCCTGAGTGCCTGTGCCCTGCGCTGCAGCCCGAGGGGAGCCCTGGCTTAACTCCAAACAACAGGGTGGAACAGGGCTGGTGAGGAAAGAGGTGGGACGGGCAGAGTTAACAAAGCCGTAGAAAGGAGCCTTGCCAGAAGGGGGCGCCGGAAGAGCACAGCTGGGAAAGGGAGCGCACGGTGGGTGGAGGGAACAGCGGAGGTCAAGCGCCCGGCCCGGCAAAGCAGAGGTGTGTTGGATAAAGGGTCAAAGAAACCCTTCCTGTACTTCCTGCCTACTTCATCTCACCTACTCCTCCCCGCAACACTGGGAACCAGGTACTGTCATCTGACCACGAGTGAAGTGAACCGAGACAGGCCACATAACTTCCCCAGGGTCAGAGGGCTAGTAAATGATGAGCTCTGGATGTGAACCCCAGCGGTCTTGCTCCAGAGCCGCTCCAGAGCCTTCGTGTACAGTCTGAGACCACACTGCCTCCCAGGATTAGCCACTAATTCGCTCTGCTGGCTGGTGAGAAATGTAGGAAATCAGCCTGAAAGGGAGATCATGAATCATGAATCTTCCATCAGTCCTATTAAACTAGCTGCATCGTCCAGCATTTGGGAGGAATGTTTCCCAAACTGGCATGCCATGGAACACTGCTCAGGAAGATACTGGTATTTCTACTACGCTGAAACAAGTCGGGGAAAGGATACGTGTTGTCTTCCCTCCACCCTCCACCCCCCACCCCGTCCTGGTGCTTCACAAAGCTCATCAGCAAGCGGGCAGGTAAAGAAATCCTGCACTTTAACCCAGGACTCAGCCAATGTCTTGCTCATCACTTTTGTGCAGCAGGGAAGCGCGGGGTTTGGCATCGGCTTCCAACACCGGCCTCAGTTGTGTCCCCCCTCAACCCCCGCCCCGCCCCATTTCTGCGGTTGAGAGCCCCGCGACCACCTGCCGTGTGGACTTTGGACAAGTCTTAAATCTCCACTTTTTTTTTCTTTTCTTTCATATTCCGCCCCCCCCGCCCCCCCTCCCCGCCCCAGGCCGCGCATGGGGGAGGAGTAGAGGGAGAGGGAGAGAATCTTGAGCAGGCTCCACGCTGAGCAGAGCCGCACCCAGGGTGGACCTCAGGACCCCGAGATCACGACCTGAGCAGAAGTCAAGAGTGGGAGACTTAACCGATTCAGCCACCCAGGCGCCCCTCCACTTTAACCGTAGAAAAAGAAAAATGGTTACAATGGCTGGCCTTGCAGGTCGTTAAGAGAATTAAATGAATGGAACAAGGGTTTCTTTCCTTCTCCCCGACACAGAACAAAGCCGAGGCTTCAGGCTGTGCGCGTGGGTTTCGGGGGACGCGGGAGCACCGACTCTTCTTCAAGTTTCTGCGGGTTTGCCGGCTCCGGAGCTCCCAGGGCCCCGGGGGCGGGGCGGCGAGGGGGAGCACCGGGGAGGCGCGCTTCCCAGGCGGGGCGGCGGGGCGGCGGGGCGGCCGGCCGCCGGAGGGCCTTGCAGGCTCCGGGCGCGGGCCGGGGAGGAGGGGCCGCGGGCCGGGCCGCCTCGCCGCTTCCGGGGGAGCCGGAGAGCCGGGCGGCCATCTACCCGGACCTGCGCGCCGCACTTCCCCTCGCCGGGGGCGACCGGCACCGCGCGGGAGCCCGAGCCAGCCCCGCGGTCCGCACCGCGGCGGGGTCGCCGCCACCCACGCGCAGGTGAGCCCTCGGCGGGGGCGGGGGCGGGGTCCCCGCGGTGGGGGTGGGGGTGGGACTGTGGGACCCCTGCGCCCCGGCCGTGCCTCCCGGACTGGCCGCATCCCTGCAGCACGTCTGCCCGGGGGGACCGCCTTCCTCTCTCCTGCCCCCTTTACCTGGCTGCCTCCAGCGGCCTGAACGCGGAAACGGGGTGGACAGGCTCTCCCAAGAAAGCCGTCACTTTGTCCGCCGCGAAGAAGCTTGTGCAGGGAGCCCCCCTCCTTCAGTGTGGGTTGAAGACCCTGGCTCGGTCAGGTTGTTTCCATCTTTAACTGTAGTGTTTCTACTACAGTCTGCTCACATTCTCCTTTGCTCTTCTGATGGTCTTTGCGAGTGTTCCAGCAAGAACATGGCTTTAGTTAGGGTTCATGACTTACCGAGGCATTTCTTTGACGAACATCTATCTTGGGCAGGCCAACGTGTGCAGTGCTGGAGTGACCGCAGTGGACACGGAAGGGTCAGCCCTGTCCTCCCCCTGAGGACGTAAATGAAGAAATCCCAGCACAGGGCGCCTGGGTGGCTCAGTTGGTTAAGCAACTGCCTTCGGCTCAGGTCATGATCCTGGAGTCCCGGGATCGAGTCCCGCATCGGGCTCCCTGCTCAGCAGAGGGGTCTGCTTCTCCCTCTGACCCTCTTCCCTCTCATGCTCTCTGTCTCCCATTCTCTCTCTCTCAGATAAATAAATAAAATCTTAAAAAAAAAGAAAGAAAGAAAGAAATCCCAGCACAACCCTGGTAAGTGCCACCAACAGAGGGACAGTCTGGAGTACCCCGGTAGCTGAGACACCTAAGTCAGAGGGCACCTAGGACCAGGAGTGATGGACTGTCAGAGAAAGTCACATCTAGTTTGTTGTTTTTTTAACTTTTAAGAAACTATTGAAATACAACCTGCATACAGAGAATTGCAGTCATAAGTGTACAGCTTACCCAATTTTCAGAGTGAACATTTCCTGCACAACCCGTATCCAGAATAAATAAAATACGGCTAGCACTCCAGAACCCTCTATGTCCACTTCCATTGACTGCTTTCATCTAAGGGGAACTATTATCCTGGCTTCTCACATCATAAAAAGCTTGCCTGGTTTTGAAGTTTTGATATGTGGACTCATGTGTACCTACTTTTTGTGTATAGTACTTTATACTCAGTATGTGAGATGCAGCCGGGTTGCATTTAGCCGTGATTCATTAATCTCAACTGATGTGTGATTTCGCACCGTACAGATAGAGCACAATTTATTTCTACTTTCTACTGGGCACTTGGGTGGATGGACATGGGTTGTTTCCAGTTTGGGTTTGTTTGGTTTTTTTTTAAATAGTGCCTCGAGGATTCTTTTTTTTTTTTTTTTTAAGATTTTATTTATTTGACAGAGAGAGACCAGCGGGAGAGGGAACACAAGCAGGGGGAGAGGGAGAAGCAGGCTCCCCGCAGAGCAGGGAGCCCGATGCAGGGCTCGATCCCAGGACCCTGGGATCATGACCTGAGCCGAAGGCAGACGCTTAACGACTGAGCCACCCAGGCGCCCCAGTGCCTCGAGGATTCTTGTGGTTGTCTTTTGGGGGATGTATGTAGCAGTCCTGTTGGGTATATCCCTAAGAGTGGAATTGCTAGGTGTGTTTATGTTCAGCTTTAGCCACATGGTTTTCCAAAGTGGTTGTAGGAATTTACACTCCCACCAGCAGTGTGTGAATTCCTGTTCCTCAACATCTTTACCAGTACTTGATTCTGTCTTTTTCATTGTAGCATTCTGCTCAGGGCTCGAGCAGTGGTATTGCACTGAGGTTTAATTTGCATTTCTCTTTTGACAAATGAGTCTGCATCTTTTCATGTCTGCTGGGCATTTGGATATCCTTTTTGCAAAGTGTTCAATTCTTCTGCCCATTTTTTTCAATAGATTATTACTTTTTTTTAAAGATTTTATTTATTTATTTGACAGAGAGAGAGACAGCTAGAGAGGGAACACAAGCAGGGGGAGTGGGAGAGGGAGAAGCAGGCCTCCCGCTGAGCAGGGAGCCCGATGCGGGGCTCGATCCCAGGACCCTGGGATCGTGACCTGAGCCGAAGGCAGACGCTTAACGACTGAGCCACCCAGGCACCCCAGGTTATTACTTTCTTACTAGTTTGTAAGAGTTCTTAAATATTCTGGTTATGAAACATTTATTGGATATGTATTTTTAAAATATCGTCTCGGGAGATTGCCTTTTCACTCTCTTAAAGGTGGCTTTTGATGAACAACAGTTCTTCACTTTAATGTTGCCCAGTTTATCTCCCCCCGCGTCATGGTTGTATTATTTATGACCAGTTGAAAAAATCTTTACTTACCCCAGGGGGTAGTGGGTGGGCAAAATGAGTGAAGGTGGTCAAAAGATACAAATTCCAGTCATAAGGTAAAGAAATCCTGGGGATGTAAATTGACAGCATGGTGACTAGACTACAAAACTGTATTGCATATTTGAAGGTTGCTAACAGAGTGGATTTATTCTCATCACAAGAAAAAAATGTGTAACTATGTGGTGATGGATGTTAGCTAGACTTATTGGGTGACCATTTCACAATATCTACATATATCGGATCATTGTGTTGTGCACCTGAAACTAATGTTTTATGTCAATTACATCTCAATTTTAAATAATCAGAAGATGAAGTCAGAAAGATAAACTCCTATATTTTCCTCTAAAAGCTTTATTGTTTTTCTCACTTATATCTGCCATCCGTTTGAAATTAAGTTTTTTGTATGGTGTGAGATTTGGGTCAAGATTTTTTTTTTTCCACAAGGCTATCAAAAATGATGCAGCACCACTTTCCACTGCTTGGCAGTGTCAGCCTTGTGATCAGGAGACTGTACGGATGTGGGTCTGTTTCTTTTTTTTTTTTTAAGATTTTATTTATTTATTTGACAGAGAGAGACAGAGCGAGAGAGGGAACACAAGCAGGGGGAGTGGGAGAGGGAGAAGGAGAAGCAGGCTTCCCGCCGAGCAGGGAGCCCGATGCGGGGCTGGATCCCAGGACCCTGGGACCATGACCTGAGCCGAAGGCAGATGCTTAATGACTGAGCCACCCAGGCACCCCGAATGTGGGTCTGTTTCTAGACACCCTGTTCTTCCATCCATCTGTGGACTCATGCACAGTAGCATGCTGCCTTAAATAATGCTTTATAATAAGTGTTTATTATTTTATTATTTATCTTTATTATTCTGGTGGTGGAAGCTCTCAGCATTGTTCTTCTTTAAGATCTTAGGTATTTTTTTTTATCTAGCTATGTCTCCCAAAGCTTCTTTAAAAAAAAAAAATACAGGGGCGCCTGTATTTTATATATATATATATATTATATATATAAAAAATATATAATATATATATTATTTCATATATATATATATGAAGGACTCATTTGGTAAGCTCAACGGGGGACTAATGTAAAAGGGTATACAATTGGCATAATTTGTAAACCGTACCCATCCATAAATTTACTCCTGGCACAATCTGTATTATATTCAGTGCTGCATATTTACATCAGATCTACTGCAAAGTAAATACAAAATCAATTTACACCATTTTAGTTAAAATGAGCTTTAGTACCTGTATGATATAGTTTCAGAACAAAGAGGATGTTTTACAACTAAGAAGCTGAGGTATCCCAAAGACCAATTTGCTACTTTTTTGCAAAATACATCATCATCAATTATAATGCTTCCCATTCGTGTTTGATCAGTAAGATAGTTCTCATGTGACTGAGCTTCACTAAAGTTTTAGATTTGAATAACCAGTTACAATACTTTTGACTTATAATTAAGTTTTTAAAAATGGAGGCTGTTACACACACACATGCACATATATATACTTTTTGACATTTTTAAAGTCTTCAAAATTTATAAAATATACTTTTGAAACCATATGTGCCAGTGAACATGATTTATTTTAATAAAGGTCATAAGACTTCAGTTAATCAACCAGAATTCTATGACTGTTTTCTGCCTGCTAGAGTTCCACCTTAAATTTGACTTTATAGCAGAATCAGTCATCTGGAATTTATTTCATAAATTCAATCTCAAGATTTACTGGGCTGCTTCCAATCATTTTACTGCTTATAAATAGAAGTAACAATATAAATTGAGAATAGTGGTTCCTTGGCTCAGAGTTTCCTAGACAGCTCTTCAAAACTGGATTCTTGGGCCCCATTTCTGAAATATCAAATAAGGTTTTCCAGGAGTATCTATATTTTTTTTAAAAGCTCTCTGGGTGATAACAATATGGTTTGAGAACCACTGACATAACCGACTAGACCAATCTTCTTAGGTACGTCAGAATCCTGCTTCCTAAGCTTTACCCAGAGATTGACTTCAGTAGATTTGGGAGGGGGCACAGGAACTGGCATTTCAAACCATCATTGCAGTTAGTCCCTGTATGTGTTTTCTGGGCTGCATAACAAATTACCACAAATTCAGCAGTATACACCAATACCTTTTTATTATCTCATAGTTTCGGTGGGGCAAGGGCCAGGCAAGACTTGACTGAGTCTTCTGCTGGGGTCTTACCTGGCTTAAGTCCAGGTATTAGCTGGGGCTACAGTGCCACTGGGGATTCAGATGGGGAAAGATCCACTACCGGACTCCCTCAGGTTGTTCTTTGTTGGCAGAATCTCCTTGCAGTTATAAGACTGAGGTCTGTTTTCTTGCTGGCTGTCAGCTGGAGATGACTTCTCTAGAGGTTACTTCTAGAGATCACGCAGATTCTAGAGGCAGCCTGCAATTTCTTGACACTGGCCCTCTTACAACAAGGCTGGCAAATTCTGCAAAGTCAGTAAAGGAATCTCTCTCCAGTCTGCTAAGATGAATTCAAACATACACACACACACACACACAAGTATGACACAATATTTATATATATGCTATATTCACATGTACACATCATTTTTTATATATTTTTATTTAAGTAATCTCTACACCCAATGTGGGGCTTGAATTCAT